CACACACACACACACACACACACTCTCACTCACTCACACACACACACACACTCTCACTCACTCACACACACACACACACTCTCACTCACACACACACACACACACACTCTCACTCACTCACACACACACACACACTCTCACTCACACACACATATCAGATTTCCTTGTAGTTTGCATGGAAAGATCACGGTTCATGTTCGTCTGACACTCTGAAGGAAGTTGATGAGCACTGACAGTAGTTTGACAGGAGCTGCAGGAATGTGTGTGTGGTCATGTGACTGTACATCATTCCCCTGTCATGTGTGTTCACTTCTCTCCAGTTCATAAGTTCATTTTTACTGATGTACTTACTATTTTTTAATCAAATTGATCAGTATAAATTGATAAAAATAAATAATTTTATTTAAATATTTAAATACATTCCTTAGCCATCTTCAAGAATCGGCTAAAAACACATTTCTTCCATCTTTATTTGACCCTCTAACTCTAGCACTCTCTATTTTAATTCTATTCTATTCTTTATAAAAATGCTCTATTCTTTTTCTCTTCTATCTGTTTTCTTTTTATTTATTATATAATTAAAAAAAAACTTGTTAAGTGTACTGCGTTAAGCTAACTGAGACTTGTTATAGCACTGCTCTTTTATTGATTTTGATTGCTTCTATTGTCCTCATTTGTAAGTCACTTTGGATAAAAGCATCTGCTAAATGACTAAATGTAAATACATTTGATTAAATGACTGTTGACTGTAGGCTTTGGTGTCTTGACTGATCTGAGCACAGTTTGAGACGTCACTGAGATCTCTGAAACCCTAGACACATGTGAGATGGCTGGGCTCTTGTTCTCAGGAGAAACATCTGATCTGAGGAGCAGGAGATTCAGCGTTTGAGCTCTGTTTTGCTGAAACAGCTGAGACATTAAGGATCTACTGTGTGATTTCTCATCCCTGCACTGTATGAAGAATAACTACATGTTAGAAGGACACTGGTTTGCCGCACTGATGTGGTGTTTGTGTGTGTAGGACACTCTGGCTCTTATAGAGCAGTATAGATCAGGCGCGGCGCCTCCTGCTGACGTGGAGTTTGAGGATTACAGTCAGGGAGTCAAAGCTGCTGCATCTGACAACACTACGACACACCTGCCGAAAGTCCGCATCAAACAGCTGTTCCACAAGAAAAACAAGGTGCACACACACACACACACACACACACACAGCCCGAGTACTGCAGTAATTACTGTAAACCATCATCACACCGGCCACAGATGAGAACATGGTGAAATAGAGCTAGCGCTGGAATCATTATGACATGTACAGTGTATATATGATGTATGTATTTGTAAATATATGTGAACTTCTGTGTGCATGTGTTAGAATTTTCAGGTGACGTCTCCTGATAAAAACACGGTGAGCAGCTTTATGCATGACGTTTCATTTTTTATTTTGTGAACAAATTTGTTTGAAATCTGCATACAGATGTGTCACAAACAAATCATGACTCATCAGTAAGTTTCATACTAACATTTGTTCTAGTCGGGGTTGATGTAAGATTAGAGTATCAGAATCTTTGTTAAGAGTATGTACTCTAGCAGTCAGTGTTTAGTGTGTGGAGTATTGATGTGTGTGTGTGTGTGTGTGTGTGAAGCCGTCTTCGCTGGAGGATCTCTCTCGTCTCCCTCCGGATCAGAGAAGGAGACGTCTGCAGGAGAAGATCGATGACATCCAGAAGGAGCTGCAGAGAGAGACGGAGCAGAGGTACATCAGCACACCTAAAACTTCACGTTTCCATGACTACAGCTACACTAGCTGATCACGTTTCCATGGCTACAGCTACACTAGCTGATCACGTTTCCATGACTACAGCTACACTAGCTGATCACGTTTCCATGGGTACAGCTACACTAGCTGATCACGTTTCCATGACTACAGCTACACTAGCTGATCACGTTTCCATGGCTACAGCTACACTGACTGAATTAATTTCCATGACTACAGCGGAGCTACACTAACCAATCCCATTTCTGTCTACAGATACACTAACTGATCCTGTATCCATGACTACAGCTGCAATAACTGATCCTGTTTCCCATGACTACAAATGCACTAACTGATCCCATTTCCATTACTACAGTAGAGCTACACTAACTGAGCAAGTTTCCATGACTACAGCTGCACTAACTAGTCCTATTTCCATGACTACAGATGCACTAACTGTTCCCGTTTCCATGACTGCAGATGCACTAAGGCCGTGTTCACACTGTAAAGTTTAAAGAGTGATACCCACATTTAAATACAGGAGTGAATCTCTCAAAATTGCGATGATTGACACCATGGTAACCATAACAACGTTCAGGCATCTCATGCATTTGATATCTATTTTTGAGCAAAGTAATATTACAGTGACCAAAGACTCTTGTGAAACCCAGTTTCACAGACAAGGCTTAAGCTAGTCCCAGACTAAAATGCATGTTTGAGCTGTCTCGACTGAAAATATCTTGCTCTGACATATCTTAAAATATGTCAGTGTCATTGTTCTGTGTCAAGATGCACACCTGTAAAGGCATTTTTGTGAAAGTTGCTTAAATATCTTAATTTAACTAAGGTCTAGTCTTGGCTTAAGCTAAGCCCCGTTTGTGAAACCGGGCCATTATGTTCAGAGATTTTTAACTAAACCACCGTCGACAGAGCCGTTGTGCTGTAGTGCTCTTGAAGGGTTGCCATGTCCACGTATTATTATTATAAGCAACACTTTCTGTGACGACAGAAACTAGCAGATCCTAAGAATCCTGCCGTTCACATTGACACTTTTACACCGTCTGTCTGTCTGTCTGTCGATCTGTCAGTGAGGCTATGATGAAGATGAAGGGTGTTTATGAGCAGAACTCTCAGCTTGGAGATCCATCCAGCCTTCAGCCTCAGATCACACAAACCGCTCATAACATCGCCAAACTGAGAGGAGAGCTCAATAAATACCAGGTACAAACACACACATACACACACGTATAGCATGTACACACATGTAAACACACGTGTGTTCTGCAGGTTCAGCTCACTGAAGCCGGCGGTGGGACGCTGCAACACTATCCCGCCAGGTTGGTCCATCAGCAAACACGTCAGTCTTCATGTGGGATTGTGTGTGTTTTGAAAACATTTTCATGATCACCAAACTCTCCTGAAGATCACTGGTTTGACCTGAGATGGTTGTTTACATCCTAGTATGATTTTAACCGGTTTAATGTGTGTGTAGTTCAGAGTACATCACCGTGCTGAGTGAGTCCAGCGTGTCTCCGTCAGAGAACATCTATGAATGTGAATTTGATGAGGACTTTGACATGGACGTGCCCATCGGTCAGTGCACGGCACTCTATGACTTTGACGGTGAGCTGTTCTCTTTTGTGCACTTTGTCACTTTTAACGTTCAGTGGACAGTCAGATCCATCCGTCCGGCCTCCCCGTGAGCATCTGTGTGTGTGTGTTTCAGGCGGCAGCGAGGGCGCCGTGAGCATGCATGTGGGCGAGCAGCTGAGTCTGATGCTGGAGGATCAGGGCGACGGCTGGGTCCAAGTACAGAGGGCCAGTGGAGACGTGGGATACGTGCCGGCGTCCTACATCCAGATCATCTGATCGCATCAGAAACAGCTGATAGCGTGTTTCACAGGAGTGTGAGCTGTGCTCATCTGACTCCATCAACTCTTGTGTTTTTATGTCACGGGGAGTGTTTTCACGTTTTTCATGTTGCACTTTTTGATTTCTTTCTCTTCTGTCAGCATGCATTATGCTGCTTCTGGTGATTTTCTGCACATCTGTAGTTTTAAAATTGATTTTAGTTGTCTTTTTCTATTGTGTTTGTCTACTGTTGCACGCCTTTGTATCGCATTGTTGTAACTTCATGATGCATAATTACAGTCCATTGTGTCCAAATGTGTGCTGATTGATTGGTGTATTTATTTTAAAGATCCGTTCAACCCAAAAACGATAATTATAATGATATCTATATTAGTGTTCACACCAACTAATGATATCATTGTTTATTGGTATAAGTGCGTCTGTCACTAAATGCTTGAGCAACCGTGCACAAAGACCAACAGTCAAGGTCAGACTTTTCATTAAATAATATATTAAATTTCAGTTTGATCATAAACGCCAAGAACATTTGGAAAATATAACTTTTGTTGCGTGGGATCATTTCTGTTATATGATGTGGGTGTCATTCAGTGTCATATGGATGAGCGCGAACGGGACTTTTCTTTAAATTTCTCCATTTATGGTCCAAAAATGAAGTCTGTTTATGAAGTCTGCCACTTTTACTGCTCGAGGTCTTTATTAAAGATGGATTCTGTTTGGCTGTCAGTGTTCTTATCGTTTTTCAGCTGGACAAAAGCTTTCTGGAAGTGATTCCAATGATATCGTTCCTCTGTGATTATGGTTATAGTTGTGTGGACCTCCTCATTCTCATTGAATTATAACTCATTGTTCTTGGTGTGAATGGGCCTTAAGGTATTTAAAGTTTGGATTTTAAATTCAAACTCGAGAATGTTAAAACACGGTACTGTAATCTTGTTCTTTGGTTCAGTTGTGAGTGTGTGCAGGCTTCAGATCAGATGTGATGGTGAGTTTGTAGATGTGAGATGTGCAGCAGCTGTTTTGGTGTTTGTCTCCCTCTGCCGGCTGCACACAACAATCTGGCAATACTTTCATTTAAAGTGAAATGAATTTCACTCTGTTTACTTCTGTACTTTTTCCAGGGCTTCCTCTGTGTGTGAATTAACTGGTTTTATTACACCAAAATGTATTAACTCGCTTTTTTTTTTTTTTACTATTATTTTTCACTTTTGACTTTATTCAGTCCCATCCTGCCCTTTTCAGCTCATTGAATATGCTGTTTACCCAATCCTGACTATAATCTGGAAGTAAATCAGGTTGTCATGCTGTTTCATGTTGACTGTAAACTAAACAGGCTCAGTTTGATATATTAATTTCCATTTTAATCCATTAAGAAACCAAAAGATATTCGTTCCATATAAACGGCCACAAAAAGATTCAGGTGAGAGAAAGCATGTCTCTGAATTTAACCATACAGATTTGGCATATTTGACTCAAGTGTGAACAATCACAGCTTTAAAACGTCGTCATCATCACTGTACAAACTGAAGGTGAAGTGTTAAAACATTGAGTTTTATAAAAGACGATTTGGTCAGTCACATGTGCCACTATAGTGTCAGAGAATCGACACACTTCATCTTTACAACAGGTGCATTTGGGCTATATTTAAATATATTTGGTGACTTTTTTAGCAAACATACAAATCAAAAGAAAAGAAAGGCATTCTGTCGCTGCTAACTTTCTGAACATTTTACATTTAAATATAGCTGAATAAAATGCAAATATGAAGCAATGTTGTCACACGCTTTACTCAAATGAGTTCTCTGGGTGAGTTTATTTATTCATTTATTTATTTATTGAAAGCAAACACTTTAAAAATCATCTTTTTCAAGTAAAAGCATTAAGACGTTTGAATATCTTTATGCTGTTGAAGGATACAGTATGTGGGGTAAGTTGTCACAGTGGAACCTGCCGTTAACACTTCAGCAAAATGTAAACAAAACAATTCACGGATAATTCGGCAAAAGATATGACTTTTTTTTTTTTTTTTAATACTCCCATCTTAAGCACTCGGTTGAACAGTTTTGTTTGCTTATTGTTTTATTAATCGAATTATATAGAATTTTAGTTTGGAGGACAGAATTCATCCGTCTCGAAGTAGGGGTTTGAACATCTAAAACGCTTAGTTTTGTTGTGCTCGCGAGTTTAATTGCCACTGAAACCTGAGATTAACATCATAACTGGAATCATGATTGGTATTTGCATATTATATTATAGTATATTATACTACATTGTGCCTGGCATAGATAGCTCGTCAGGGTGACAGCGTTCAAATGAAAGTGGAAAAATGACTATTGAACTATAATTCAACAAATTCCATGCATGCAAACCATGCAGTCATTTACAAATGAATATTTTATTCACCAAAGCCGCCTACTCGCATTTGGCACTGGGTGTGAATGTAATAAAGAAATGAGAAGGCTGAATCAAAGGAACCTGAGTTTGTGTTTGCTGGAGGGGGCGTGGTCTTCATCACAGGTGTGGAGGGGGAGCTGGAGGCAGGAGGCGGAGACTCTGTGGTTGTCACGGCGACGCAGTCCAGGCACAATACTGTGACAGAAGAGGTCAGTGGTGGGTTTGACCAGGTCAAGAGATGAGGCCAGAGAGAGCTTACGACTCATAGTGCCGGTCGTTACTGTAGAGTTATTCTCTGAGGACAGAGAGCGCGATATCAACCATAATGCAGCACGAGGACACAGTCAACAGTGATTTTATTTATCTGTGTGTGTGTGTGTGAGTGAGTGAGTGTGTGTGTGTGTGAGTGT